CCCCCCATGTGAAAACCATTTTCTATGGTTGGAAACTATTAGTTATCCTTAGTGTGAACAAAACTTCCTTTGTTCTGTGTTTTTATGGGTGCAAACTGGTATGCTCCAAACAATAAAGCTTTGTCATCAAAAATTAACCAGTGCTCCAGATTTCTGGTCTGTCGTGTTGTAAGCAGTAGCTCGAGACGTCTAAGTGGACGAGAGAGTTGTTCTTCCTCTTTCAGTCTGTCATTATTGGAAGAGAGTGATGAAGACTTCATTGGGGGCCGGGTTTTGACTTGGTGTGTTCTTTGCTTGCAGCCTTCCATGTAGGTCTGGGGCTTGTGGTTTGATACCGGGAGCTGGCAAAGCTGAAATGTTCTGTCGGACCAGCTTGGAGCCGTCATTTTGGATTCACTCTTTCATAGAACGAGTACCTGAAGCTGCTTTTATAGCTCAATATTCAATTCTTGAAACCTGTTTGGAAATATTCTTGGCTTTTGGAATGGGAAAGAAAAACTTTTAAGAGCTTTGAAAGCTGCCACAGGGACTTGCTACTTAGCTGGATCAAATCCAAAATGGCAGCCACAGCCTAGTTTCTTCACAGGTGCTTTTTGAAGAATTTAGAGCTCCATTTTCAGTTCATGAAGTCTATTTATATTTTGTCTATGCTTATGAGACTGGGCAGCTCAAGGGACTGGTAATGGGATGTGGAGCCTTTTCCTTCTATTTGCCAGCCCACATCTCACCCAAACTGGCAGTGACAAAGTTGTTAGCCGTTCAGCGATGGGGCCGCGCTTCTGTTAAATGCAGCTCCTTGTCCCACTCTAGTGCCTAGTAGAATAAGTGTCCCATTCACAGGAAAGGTTGGTTGCCTGTGTTGGCTGTCTCAGGAGTGAGATAAGGCCTGAACTGGCAGGAGGATCAGGCTGTGTGATCTCTCTACCCTGCAGATAGTGCTTTCCGTCAAAATTGGTACGTGTGGCCTCAGCAATGGTAATAAAGTGTTATGTTTTATATGGATAAATGAAGGGCATTAGCATTAACCACAGTTAATTCAGAATTTTATAAGACTGCAAATAGCAGAAGCTTCTACTGGTGGCAGTGTTTAAAAAAGTTAATTAAAAGTCAAAGAAAATCTTGAACTCTAAAGCCCTAATGCATTTTTCAATGCCAAGCAAACCAGAGGAACAACCAAGCTCTTACTAATTCATGGCATGTTACAAAGTCCAAGGCCGTCTATGATTTCCTGTTTCTATACAACAGTTAAGGACACACAACTTTAAAAAAAAAAAAAAAATCCTTTAAGAAAGCTGTTATTTTATGGAGCTATGGTAGGTTAAGTATTAGTGTTTTAATTTGATCCATGTTCTAGTGTCATGTCCAGATTTTCTGTAAACTTTTTTGTGCCTTTACTGAATTTGGCTTTTTCTTTACAAATGACATTCTAGTGGTTGGGTGGCATCTTGTATTTTCATTACAAAAGCTACAGTAGGGGTATGTCTTAAAATTTGCTGCTTTTTGGCTCCCTGGAGTCAGCAACTGCTAAGTACATGAGCTGTACAGAAGGCTGAAGTAATCAGAATATTTACTTGCTTTTTTTCTTAGTTCTACAAGGTTTCCCCTTTCCTGGGGAAAAAAAAAAATTCCTACACAGACTGAGAGGAGAGGACCTGTTACACTACACTACTGTTACTACAGTATCAAACATTATGGTGGTCTCAAAGCAGGAGCTAACTACCTGTAATCTCATCTTTGTCACTGTCAGATCCTGTGGCTTTGGTTAGTCCATTTAACCTTTCTTTCTGTAGTTCCCTCTCAGTATAAAATGATAAAATAGTTATCTTTCAAATAATGACTATTAATTATTAAAAATTAAAAAGCATTATATGCATGAAAAGAGCTGGGCTGGGATTTTCATGTTAGGTGCTGAAGTACAAATAAGCTTCATTTGTATTTGTACATTTTAGGCTTTTCTTTGAAAATGTCAATGTTAAGGTCTACCAGGTTTTGGCATCACAGGCTAAATAAACATACTCTCTTGGAGTTCAGTGTATTTAAGAGCAGAAACGGAGTTAAGAAGGTTTGGCCTTCTTAGTCTATCTTGCTTTTGGGACTATAACTCTGTTTGGAGTGGATTGGAGTTAGAGCTGATGTGCTGGCGCAGTTAAAAAGTAGGAGGAGGTGACTGAATTGGGTCGGATTTTTTTATGTGAATCACTTCTTCCATACTTTTATTATGCTAGTTCTTTTTGCTCTTGTTTTCATTCATAGCTGTTGATGTGCATACACATGTGAAACAGCTTTTTCAAGATTTGGGGGGAAAAATCTTTAATTGCCAATAATAATAGTTCTGAAGCCTTATATTTTTATTCTTCTCCATTTCCTCCATTCCCTTTTCATAGAGCTGGTGTGTTCCACTGGATAGAAAACGTGCTGCTGTCTTAATCTGTTTTTCATCTCTTCGTTAATCTCTCTCTGTCTTTAATTTCTCTCACTTTCTGCTTAGCTGTGCTCTACGTTTTTCCAAGCTGTCTTTTCTGGATGTGGATGTTTTTATCTGTGTGCTTTTTTTAACACTGCACTCTGAACTCATGATCCGCTAAAAACAATCAGCAAACTTTTACTGAGTTGATTTCTGATCATCATTCTCCTGTCTTGTATAGAATCTGGTCAGCAAGCTCTTCAGAGCAGAGGCCTCTAGCTGTCCCTGAGGGAGAATTAAACTTGTTTTGCAAAAGCTGGAGTACTACAGTGTTGTATGTCGTTCAGATGATGCTGCTAGCTGGAAGAGGGGAATCCGCTGTGATTGCAACATCTGCCTAATAAAATAACAGCAGGGAGGACTAAGGGATTAATTCTCATATTGATTACAGTTTTAAAACTGTTGTGTCCATCAGGAATAATTCTGATCGCATCATTAACAGTAATGTTGATTCATACCAATGTGGAACTGCTAGCCGTTTCAAATCTAAAACGGCTAAGAATGTTCTGTCCCCACATCTGTGTAGCTTGAATGTTATTCTAGGGATAATATGGAAATGCAGTAGTTCTCTACATTTTATGTTTGCCTGCTATGTACAGAGTGATGGGCTACCTCTGTCATAGATAGTGTTTTCAAAGTAGGCTTATGAAAGACTTGTGCTTCAACGGGGTAGGTTTCATTCTGCCCACATTTTCTACAGCAGTGATAATAAATAATGAGGCTCAGGGTTAAGACTGGAAGTAAGCTAAGAGTCTGAAGTACTATACTTACGATGTGTTGGTCAAACAGTAGTAGTGTTTTAACTTTTTGAACGTGTGAGCTGAAGTGCTGAAAGAAATGGGAACAACCATAAAATGACATTTCAAAAAGTTAACTTGTATTTATAGTTTATTGATTCATAAGTTCCAAATTGTGTTCTTTTCTGATATTGTAAACTGCTTCTTTGGCAAAACCTTATGCCAAGTTGTTGGCGGCGTTTTTAGTCTCATTACATCTGTTTTAAGTTGTTCGTTATTTGGAAATGAGCTTCATAATGTTTGCCATTTTCCTGAAGTTTGACGTTCCATATCAGATCTGTTACCAGGCAGTTATGAAAATGCATTCTGACTGACCGTTTACAGGAAGTCTGGAAATTCTTCTTAACTACTTCTGGTGTAGTCTTTTCAAGATTGCTGTTAGTGGAAAACTTAATTAGTTTTTAAACTAATGTTTAAATTAATTTAAAACTAATTTTTTCACACCTGGACAATTCTCTGATCTTTTACCACCAGTGTTTGCCACTCTCGATCATTGATTGTTTCGTGTTTTTCTTAAAAACCTGCGCTATGTAGAACCAATGCTTGTGTTTCGGATTACTTGAATTTTTGTGACCTGTAGTCAGCAGTCAACTTCAAGTCTTGTTTCTTCTAAAACACGTGTGGTCATCAGTAGTAGATAGTGCTGGTATCTCATTCGCGCAGTCTAAGGTGAGGCAGGCCATCTTTGTTGCTATAATTTGTGTTATTCAAGACTTTTAAGGTAGCTTCTCATTTAGAGAAGTTGAGGATGGTTGGTTAGAAAGGCAATATTTTACCAACTTATTTTCTTACCTACCTTTCATACAATGTCTTTCTACTTACTTTCTTACCTACTGAATGTATATATATTTATGTGTATTTTTTTACATTATATATTCATAGTCCATATGTTTTGCAGATCAGTGGTGAAGCTCAGGAGCTCTTCTCTGTCCGCCATGGTCCAGTTCGAGCTGCACGGATTTTACCAGCTCCACAAATCAGTAAGTATATATTGATACAGTTCATAATTAAGTGTAACTTTTGTTACAGATCTTTGTCCAAATCATTGCTATAACCTGATGTGTAGATCTTTCCATTAAACTGTTGCCCTCACAATAGCTTTCTACAAGTATTATTTACTTCATTTTTCTTCCTACTCTGTAATCCAGTGCTTTCTCCAGTTTCATCCTCAGATTTTAGCTTTGATGCCGCTTCCTTTGTGGCTTAGAGGATATCTAGGGATATCTGTGCTCAGAGATCAGTCCCGAGATGTTAATGATTCTATTTGTAAACATTTATTATCAATGTTTTATTGCTATAAAATAATATTGAAATTACCTTTTTATAGCAAGGCAGTGGCTGATAGCAGTAGATCGAGAAACTATTAACATTTATGAAAAACGCCTGTTACAGTGCATTGTAAAGCCTATTCATAATGTGGTGTGCTTCTGAACTCAAACTCTTTAGAAGAAGGATAGCATGTTTGGGTTGTTTTTTTGTTATCCGTTCGGGAGCTGAAACTGGAACAATGCAAGTAAGGTAATGCAAGAAGTAGTTGATCTATAATATAGTTTGTCTGAAGAGAAAATGTCCTTTTCTGATTATTTAAATATTTTATTTATGAAGAAAATATCAAGTATTTTCTAAACTGTGAAATGATCTAAATAGTCTTCTAGTGCGTGCATTAAGTTTAGCAATGGTAGCTTTTAATGAGGGTTTTAAAAAGAAAAAAAAAAAAGCTGCTTTTCCACTCCAGTAAAAGGAGCGAGACAATGGAATTTGTTTTTTGGGGTGGTACTAGCTTCTAATTTGTTCCTCTGCTGCCTATTTTATGTAAACTTTATTCAAACAGTTTGACTTCTTTAGTGGTTGAACTTTTATCATGATCCCTTGAGTGCCGATAGGCACCTCCTCTCTTTTACTGCTTAAATACTCTTTTATCAAGTTCTAAGACAAGCTGCTTAGTTTAGCAGGATTGTTTCAGAAATTCTGACTTAACCCCCTGGAAGAGCTTGCTGCAAAATTTAAGCTACTATGCATAAACAAGCAAATCCCTTTAAAAAAGGACTCTGTTCCATCTAAACACACCATCTGATTGTAGACTTCTTAAAGGCCTAACTAAGGTCTGTTGGCGTCCTGGCGTGGTTTTGGTTTCGGCAGTGTTTTGCTTCCTCGCTCCGCCTGTAACTTCAGCTGGGCAGGCGATTCTGTACAGCTGCCGAGTAGCATTTCCAGTGTAAATCGGTTGCCATGTTTTACTTCAGGGATGAAAAGAACATACTTCTAGTATGACCAAGGTTTTTTGGGATTCTGCTGGCTTACAAATTTTACTAGTGTATTATGGATTAATTTGTGAACTAAAAATATAGCCCAAAATTAATTGTTTAAATTTTAATTACAAAAATAGTGAACTACAATAATTTAGAGCGTTTCAAAGTAAGTGAGGAAAGTTAAAGCTTTAATGGACACATTTTATCTTTGTCTCGGTGATTTCCTGAGCAGAGGAATATACAAAGTATGAGTATATATGGTTCGGTAACTCTCTTATAGGTGAAAGTAATTTAAAGTGAAATACTTCACAAGCATTTCGTGCCTCTTGTTCTGTTTATGGGTACATTGCATAATTCCGGATGAGCTATGGGGTTTTTTTTTTGCTATTATGTGTGTCATTAAGTAATGAATGTCTATGCTCCTTCCTCTCTGACAGGAAAAAAGAGGAGAAAGAGAAGTGTAAATGAAAATTAATTGAAGGACCTATAAGTTCTGGTTTTTTCTGATAGTAAAATGGTGCTTTCTGACTCTTCAATCTAGTAACTTACACTGCTTATGAACTCCTTCAAGCAGTTAGTCTCTTTCTGTCTCTAAATCGCATATATTTAGCATCTGACAACGATAGTTGTTACATTAGAAAACTATCCAAATTAGCTCATATTGAATTAAGCCAAACCTTTTAAAAACATGTTTTGGTCTCTCTTTACATGGCTTGTTTTAAATAAATCTTTGATTAAAGGTACATGAATATATCATTGACCAGTATCTGGAATCAGATAAAAGTAAAGCTGTAATAAGAGGCCTCAGATAACTAACACATGAGCTTTAATGATTCTGACCAAAATAAAAGGAATTTGTAAAGGAGAAGCTGATTACCATCAGTAAGCTCAAACACTATTTTACTGTAAAGCTGTAAAAAGGGAATTATTGAAAATAGGACTCTCTTGGTGGATGGATTTGGCACGTTCCTAGAAACAGATCTTAGTTTGTGATAAGAAGCTCATTCCCAGGTGTGAAAGGAAAGCTCATGGTTTTAACTTGGTGACTTTACGGTGGCAGAACTTAATAGTTTGTCAACTGTTTTGTTAAAATACTATAGTCCTTTGATGTGAGATCCTCTGCTGCATCACGTGCTTTATAGCATAATAAAGCATTGTTTCAAAGGAGTTATTTCATACAGGCTTATTTCATGCAGCCGTATTGCAAAGGAGACCTCCTCAAATCTGATTTA